CTGTTTGACAAATTCAACCAAAACCTGCTCCCCGGCGTCTACTGTGTTCATATGACGTCACCCGTTACTGTCTGCTTCACAAGCAAATAGCAGCACTGTTATTTCAAAGTGAGTTAAGAAGAAAACGCCATTTCCCAAGCCAAGGCTTCTGATTTCTAGACAAAAGGAGAGAGGAATGCATGAGATATGGCATAGAAGTAGATGATATGGAAAACAGAAATCAAGCCTCTTGGTCTCCAGGCAGTATGGAGAGTATCATACCAGGAAGGACTAGAACTGTGCCTTATTCTCTCAAAGGCTAATTGATTCTTTTAATTTTTCCTGGATTTTTGAGACCAGAGTTCATGATATAGCTCAGGCTAGCTTGAACTAACTAGATGGTTCAGGTCTGGGTCAAAATTGTGATTCCTTTACCCCAACCTCTTGTGTGCTGGGCTTTCAAGTGTGCAATCCAGTGTCTGGATCTGGATCCGAGTCTTTTTTTTTTTTTAATAGATATTCATTGAGCATGTACAGATTAATAGAGATGGGTTAAATTAAGATGTAAGAGATAGCCAATAAGAAGCTAGAGCCAATAGGCCAAGCAATGATTTAATTAATACAGTTTCTGTGTGGTTATTTCGGGGCTGAGCAGCCGGGAACAAACAAGCGGCCATCTACAACAGAAGAGGCTTCAAAATTAGATTATAGTAAATTTAATTTATTTTTTAAATAAATCATTACAAATAAATTTATAAAATGATTCTGAATTAAAACTTATTTTCCTTGAAGTTCTCTAACAAGAATTTGATAGCGGAGCCTTAGGTTGCCGTATTCATGGCTATGCACCTATTATTTCCCCGCATTGATGATCATGTTGAATTTGTGCAGGACTCCTGATTTTAATGTAGTATGTAAAACACTGCTTCTGTGAATAAACATATAATAATAACTATTTTTAGTTTTGTGCACAGGATAGGCACTTTGAAATTTCTTACCCACTGCTTTTATAGCTAGCAATTATTAAAGCAGATGGACAAGTGAAGAAATACAGAGGTTAGTTACCTGATGAACAGTGTGGATTATGATCCAGAAATAGAGAACAGATATTTAAAATAAGTAGTATTATATGTGAATGAATATACCCAATATTTACATTTTCGGTATTTCCCATTACTTTGACCTTTTGCTTGCAAAACACATTAAACCACACATGTAAGGATGAGGCTTCCTTTTGCCTCCAACTCAGTATGATTTAGTGTGGAAGTACAAGGGGTATTCATGTGCCAGTGCTGATGAGTCTCAGAAGCCATTGAGGAAGACCACCAAAAAGCTGTGTTCCACATGGTTTCATCAATCCTACTCTAAAATAGGAAAGCTATAGACTGAAAACAGATCCTGGGTTGCCCAGCTTAGCTGGGGACACAGAAGGGACTGGCTGCATGGGACAAGGAAGGTATTGATGAGAGAAAAAGAGAGAGAGAGAGAGAGAGAGAGAGAGAGAGAGAGAGAGAGAGAATGAAAGTATTCCGTAGTTCATTGCAGTTGTGGCTAAACAAGTAGATACCTTCCCAAAGGGTTGATCACTTGTATCAGTCAGTATTTCTCTGTCTCTGCTGTAGAATGAACTTTAGAACTCTTAGAAAAGATGACTTTTGTTATATATAGGAAACACAAATTTGGGGTAAAGATTCTAAGAGTTTCCATCTAGTGTGGCAGGCCCTGTAGAAACTGGTCACCCTCTGAACCCCTTTGTGCCCTTGCCGCTGAGTTCTCCACTTTGCTCTGTTTCTTACGGCTTCATTAGCTAACTTAAATCGTGTGTTTGTGCAGTTAATATGTGGTTTCCTTGCAAAACAGACTTGATATTAACTAAACCTTCCAGAGTTACCCAATTGCATTTAGGGCAGAGGGTTTCAGACCCAAAATTCCAAGTTTTCTCAAGGTTGGGTTTAAACTACCTATTGATAGAATCTTGGCATATGTTCTATGTATTCACAGGGCATGTCAGAACAAAGCTTCTCAGTTTCGGAGGGTTTCCACCCACATCTCAATTATGTTCATTCATTACCGTCTTGGCAAGCTGGCTGGATTTCTAAAACACATGTCATTCCTCTAAGACTTCATGTATATTCTAAGATGTAAGTGTCCAGCAGTAGCAAACCGTTCTTATTCTGTTCCTATAGTCTATTTCATGCTTATTTTACATGAATTTTTTTCAAATAGAGGAATAAAAAATGTAGGGTTTTGAGGCATCTTTCTTCTTCTTCTTCTTCTTTTTTTTTTTTTTGAGACAGGATTTCTCTGTGTAGCTTTGCAGCCTGAACTCACTCTGTAGATCAGGCTGGCCTTGAACTTACAGAGATCCACCTGCCTCTGCCTCCTGAGTGCTGGGATTAATGGGCGTGCATCACCACTGCCTGGCAGTTTCAAGGCACCTTAGGCCCTTGAGATTCAAAGTGTGGTCGACCAGTCAGCTCCCAAATCACCGGCGAGCGTGGAAGGAAGGCAAAGGAAACCTTGACTTTGACTCAAGACCTAGATCAGAATGTAGGGACTTTATTACATTCTATTTATTTATGTATTGTGTGTGCATGTATGTGTGGGTGTGCCCACGACATGACGGAGGTAGAGGGTAACTTGAGGAAGTCAGTTCTCTCCTTCTACCTTGTCTCAGGAGTTGAACTCAGGTCACAAACCTGATGGCAATTACCTTCCCTTGTTGGCCCATCTCTCCAGCTCTGAGTACATGTTTCTGAACAGCAGGCTCTCTTCCCTCACCCATGGTCCTTGTGTGCTTTAAACTGGAGGCGCGTTGATGCCGTGTGTTGGCTTCTTCTTTTATTTCCCTCATACTCAGCTCTGACATAGAAAGGTTAAAAAACAAAAAGCTGAAGTTAGGTTAGTTTATTTTGGTTTTGAGCCTTAAAATCATCTAACATGATCTCTACATACAATAGTGCTTATATAAGGTAATATGAATATTAAGCAAGACAAGAGATGAATCTTTTTGACGACTGTGTCATAAACAGTCAATGTACTCATAGGAAATGAGCTGTGCTTCATATTGCGGCCCTAGCAGGAGGAGTGGAGCCCTGTACATGCACCCCCCTTCCAACCTTGACATCCTACAGGGACAAACGTTAACATGACGTCATACTAGTCCCTAAGAGTCCTGGGGCTAACTCGGAATTAGTGCAGACTTGATATATATGAAATGTTTAAAATTTAGACAGAGACTGAGGGGCTAATTTACATAAATGGCTTATGTCACTCAAATGTGGACACCTGTCAATTTAAACAGTCAGTCATTGGTCATGTTCCTGATTCTTAAAGCTTCGGGATTTGCTGTTTTTAATTTCATTCTGTTCTAAATCAAAGTTGTCTTGGCTACCCTAAGATTTTTTCTCACATGGTTGTTCTATAACTTCTGTAATATTTAACAATTGGCAGGGCCAGAATGTCACGCAAGGCTGAGGTCCTGCCAGAAAGCAAGTCCAGGGTCTTGCCAGCCTGATCCAGGACTCTCTCTCCTAGCTCTGTAACCCCATCCACATCTGTCAATCCTAGGCACCTCTTCCTTTTCAAAAGAGCCAGTTTTATTTAGTGTGCCAAACTAAAACATATTTGTTTTAGCCTACTGTCTTGCAGCTAGAGATCTCGTGACCCCACAGTGCCCCATGGGAGAGACAGTAGACACGTGCCTTCCTAACACGTGTTGAGCCCTGCCCATCTCCTGTCTTCTACGTAACAGGAGTCAGATTTAATACTTAAAAATAAATAGCTGTCCTGCACAAAAAAAGGAGGAAAACACTAATATTCATCTTATTCTAACCCTCATTCTGAGGATGGTGGATACAAAAATGGGAAGCGACCTGTTGAGATCCATCAACTTTGAGTTGCCCTTGATTTCTTCTTCTTCATTTTTTAAAAAAAAAACATCATTTTTTTGTCTTATAATTTATTTATTTTATTTTATGTGTATTGGATTTTTGTCATGGATGACCCATCCCTTGGAACTGTTGTTACCAAAAGCTGTGAGCTGCTGTGTGTAACGGACTCCAGGTCCTTGGAAAGAGCAGGCAGTGCTCTTAACCACTGAGCCATTTCTCCAGTTCCTGATTCCTTATTCTTAACACATTGAGAAAACTTTCCCTTTAAATTTTGGTCTACGGGTGTCTGTTATTTGTAGCTAAACACGTTCCTGGATCCTATTCTGTCACAACCTTTCTCCCTCTTATTTTCATGTGCATTTACTGTATTTACATCATGCCTGAGCTCGGTGATAGACTCGTTGCTAGTTACAGGGAGAAGCGTCTCTGCCTTGCTTTGATTTTCATGAATACCTTTCATTCACGAGGCAGGATTATTTCATTCCGGATGCTTTTACCTGCTGCTCTTAAGTCCCTCACCTGCTGTAGATACAAGCTCACTCGGGTAGGGTGCTGCAGTTATTCTAGTAGGTCCCTATTAAAAAGAAAAAAAAAAACCTGTAGGACCTGAGTCAAAAAGTTTAGAAAGTTCAAAAATAATTCAAAATTATTGCTGAAAAATCCATATTTATTTGTTGCAGCTTTCTCTGACAGTGTCTAGCACAAAGTTTGGTAATAACTTTTGGTAATAATTATTCAGCTCGGTTCAGCCCAGGTCAAACCAGTGCCTTAATCCAATCAGTTCCGTTTCGAGCTCATTCCTATTTCTAAACGTCTTCCCATTGCTGTAAATCCCCTTCTTCCTTTTCTCCTTTGAATTTAATGAAATCATTGCTCCATTATGTGTATTCACCGAGTATGACACTTTTTTTAAATTATTAAATCTATGTGTCTTCTGGCTCACTTCTTAGTCTTTCACTTCCTGAGAACGTATCTCTGGAGACTCTTATTACCGTGTGTTCATTTGGCTTCAGCTTCTAGAAGATTCACTATGAGCTGGTTTTGGCTGAGTAAGCTGGGCTTCCATGCTGTGCCCTTGTCTCTCTATAAATACTACCTTTGTCCCTTGGCTGGAGGGTTTCATAATGCGGAGAGACAGATTAGGAGGACTCAGAACGACACCCGGTCACTGAGTCATCTGCCAACACTTATTCCTGAGGCTCTTCCTGCTGTGCTCAGGGTAAGCTCCGGCTTCCATGCCATAGTCAGCAGCTAGGAGGAAGGCGAGTTTCTGCGGAGACAAATCTTCCTAGCTTCTTGTTGCCAGGGAGTTCAGATCCCATCTCCACGAGGTCTGTCTCCTAGTCCCTGTGAATTTATTCTGGCCAGTCACGCCACTGTATCTGCTGTGTCAGCTTCTATTGCCTGTGGTAGCAGTCCTCCATGGTTTGGCTCCAGACTGTTTTTTTTTTTTTCTGGATGTGAGCTGATTCATCATGCTTCAGTTCATTTTATCAATCAATCAATCAATGTAGTAAGTGTAGCGGTTACTAACATTCTTCTTGAGTGTTTGTTGTGTATGTGATAAGGGTTTGATATACATTGCTCATTTCTCCTTAGTCACTCTCTGATCCTCATGCTGACATACTTAGATGTCCACGTTCTTCTGCTCATAGAACACAGGCCAGTGCCGCTCCTAGGTATGTGCCTACAAGGACTGAAAATATAAGCCCACAGGAAGCTGAAATAACTCAAATGTCTATCAACTAACAGAACATGATCATTTATACAAGCGAATAGTAGTCACTCAATAAACATCCCAACGCATACTACAGCATGAATAAATCATGCAAACCATATGTAAATCGAAGTAACCAGGCACAATGGTCACATATACACTTTTACATATAACTGAAGAGTTAAGAATAGGCAAATCCGTAGAGACATAAACTCGATATTATCAGTAGCAAGAGGGCACAGCTCCACACTGCCACCCTCAGTACTAACCTGAGGAATTCTCTTAATCTTTTAGGGGCCTCAGCCCAGACAAACCCAAGGATGGTTTGTGTGCAGAGAATTTAGGGCTAATCAGTGTAAAGCGGGGCGGGGGCTTTGCTAAAAATAAAAGAAAGGCACTTAAGAAAGGAAAAGCTTATGCAAGGACATGGATTTGGGCTTCTCAAGGAAGGATGGTGGTTTTTTAGGAGACGCTTAAAACACAAATATTAGCCTTGAACATGGGGGAAAGGCACTTGGGAAGAGGGGTTATACACAGTATGTGGTACAGGCTTCTCAAGGGAGGGTCGTAGTGCAAGAGTCCTAGGGGTTGTCTGTATACGGGGTTTTAGAAGCTTTAGGGATTTCGTGTACAAGGGGTTCTTTTATTTGTTTGTTTTGGTTTTTTTGAGACAGGGTTTCTCTGTGTAGCCCTGGCTGTCCAGGAACTAACTCTGTAGACCAGGTTGACCTCGAGCTCCCAGAGATCCTCCTGTCTCTGCCTCTCGAGTGCTGGGATTAAAGGGATGAGCCACCACCGCTCTGCTGTACAAAGGGTTCTTAAGGGCCACCTCCTTACCTTTAGTTGTTGCCCCTTTAAGTACAAAGGCCCAGGGGGTGACTTTGATGAGATATTAGTATGAGAAGGAAAAGCCAGGACCCACTAGGGTTGCGCAGATTTCCCATAGGAGTTCTAGGAAACTGCAGGTTTCAGCTAGGAAGTGAGAAAAACCTTAAGCAAAGCAGTTGTTAATTGTGCTGGAATTCTTGCTTTGTGGCTGGTGAGAGGCTAAAGCTAGATTCTGGACTGAGGGGGCTTCTCTCCCCTTTCTCATGTCCCCACGGTTTCCCACGTCCTTCCCTTCTGCTTCAACTAGGGATGATTATCGTCATCTTATAGGCAAGCAAGGGCAAGGGCTCTGCTTAACACACGCTTAAGAAGATTCCTAACCCCTGGTATGAAACTGCCTTTCATTCCGATATCTGTCCAGGACCCTAGCTGCCAAGTTGCTTTCTTCTTCATCGTCATGAACTAGAGCAGAGTTTTTCCAAGCTGGGGTCCACAGGTGGGGCTTAGCCCTTAGACGCACTCTGTAACCTGAGTTTGTTGACAGCATTGCAGCCTTACACCATTTTGCTAACTGTAGACAGAACACAGGGTCCATACTTTTTATCTCCATGACAACCATTTGATGCGGGGAGTGGTCATGAGCCTGGGATACTTTGTCCAGGCTGTTGCTGGCATCTCCAGTACTCATGCCATGGCCGTCATTTATCTTCATGTTGGTGGTGTTTTCCTTACAGAACACTTCACAGAAAAAGTGGAATATTTCTTGCAACTGTATTTTTAGAAGAGAGCACAGGAGAAAGGAAGATTATTCATGCGCAGTAAGAGAGAGTAATGATTTGTATATACAAATCATATTTCATGTCTCTTTCCAGATAGCATGACTGGCCAACTCACTCCTTTGTCAGCCTGGCTCCTGTGGATACTAGAGGTTTGTTTTGTTTTGTTTTTACATAGATTAGAGTCAGCAATGAAGAGGCCTTGGGTGAGTTAGAACCATTCAGAATCTCGAGTTCATCATCTGTGAAACCAGAGTTTAAAACTGCATAATGTGGAAAGCAGGGAGGGGATTGATGTAGAGGCGGGAAGCGTCTTGTGAACTACAGAGTGTTATTTAATATAGTATATTCTCTGGGTCCTTCCTGGAATCCATATGTTGAGATTGCAATCTTGAAGATAATCAGCACTTTTTGGAGAAGAATAGGCCATGAAACTGAAAGTACATTCATTTGCTCAGTCATGATGACAACGCTTAGTTCCTTTTTAGATAATCTTTCTCAGTTACTAGATGTAGTTCCTGGGAAATTCTTTCATAAGCAATTTGCTGTCACGTGACAGCATTCAGGGAGCCCGTTCCTGTGATGGAGGAAAACGAAGAGAAGGTTAAGAAGACCCTGGCATGGAGACTGTTTCTCTATAAGCGTACCAAAGGGCTACACTTAGGGAGGAAGTGTTGTTTTCTGAGACCTAGCATTTCCATGGAGAGATGCTTACCGGGAAAGGGCGTGAAAGAGCATTCCCGGAGAAGGAGAGCAGAAATACCCGTCTCCAATTGCACGATGGTACACAGGTAGTGTGTTAAGAAAGTCTCCAACTCCACATCAATGTTGTGGTAGGGATGGTATACTTTTTTTCATGGATATATTGTTGGGACTCTCACAAAATGGTACCTCAAGGCGTGCATTTTGACACGCGGAGTTGTAGGAGTGGTCTTAGAGGAGATCCTTCTGAGCCCCCTGCCCCCTGTATCTTGACTCTCCCACAGGTGCAGCAAAGGACTTCATCTGCATGAAGACCACACCCATAAAAGATCACAACCTCCTTCCGTTCTCAAGAAAGAAGCTCATAGTCTGTCAAAGTGCATCCGCACCGGGGAGGACTTTGTCCCAAGATAACATCTCTTTCTGGCTCGTTCAGATTCCAGAGGGTCATTTATAATCTCATCTCCCTCTCCGAGTCTGTCCTGTCCCTTGATAATTATTTACTATCCCTCTAAATTGCCTCTATCCCCTCCCCCATTTTTTTTTTCTATATGGCGAAGGGTATCAGGCATCCACGCCTCACTGGGTCAGTGGGGGAATCACACTTCTGAGTCTTACAGAGATAGTGCAGAGTCATGCTGAATGTCTGAACCTCACTGGCTCCGTGGAAACACGCGTCCATGACTGTTCCTTGTGCACACCAGAAAACTGCTGTGTCATTTCTCCCGATAGCCTTCGTGTTGCCAGTTCATCTCAGTCAACATTCAGAGGTTGAAGGGAGTGGGGGGGATCCCCTACCTTTATACCATATGAATAACGAGAAAGGCAATTAAAATTGCTAAATAGTAACCTCTCTTGCATGCCCCTTGCTCACTGGAGTCTTAGTTCAAGTCTCAACTATTTTTCCTTTTTAATGAATTTTTGTTTTATTCTGCTGTGACCCTGGAACCGAACCCAGGGCCTTACATACGCTAGGCAAATGCTCTGCCACTGAACTCCATCCTGAATTCTGTTCTTATTTTTAAGCAGGACTTCACTAAGTTTCCAAGGCTGGCCTTGAGCTCACTCCTAGCCCAAGCAGGTCTTGAAGTTATGATCCTCTTGTCTCCATCTCCTGAGTAGCTAGGATTACAGGCTTGCCCTGTCAGGCACGGCTTTTAAAAGTTTTCAAATGAGTATGCATGTTTTATCAGTACCGGTGCTGAGAGCGTTTGTGGATAATTTATGGTGCTTTTTGGCATTAAAAATCACCCTTCACCGACCTTGCTCAAGGTACACTTATTTCATTTCTCTGCACTCACCATGCATTCTCAGCACTGCTGTGGGTATAGCCTCAAGCTATGACTTGGTCCAGCTGAGTCCCGGAGCAGGCCTTTAAGGATCTGATATCAGGCTTTGTCTCTATAGCTCACAGTGCTGAGCATTAGCCCAGTGCAGCCTTGAGTAGACACAGTGAATCAGCAAGTGCTTTAAATGCTTAGTGTGAACCAGTGGCCCGTTCCTGTTAAAGGAAATGAATCATTCCCGCTGCTCTGCCGGCTCTTCGTTTTCAGATAGGTATGGAGGACCACCTAATACACGGGCAGTAGCTAGAACAAATGCATTACTTGAATCGACATGGCTTTCCTAACATGTCGTCAGGTATAGTATGACAATAGGTACAAGTGGCAAAAGGATGGTGGGACGTAATCACTGTGCTTTGAGGGGACCTAATAAAAGGATGTATGGAAAGACTATCCCCGATTTCCTCCTTTCCCTGAGTACTCTTTGCAGTGAGCTGACAGCTCCCTTCCCTCTGCAGATCCTGGTGCCTGTGGACTCCCCCACAACTCTGCACCTTCACCTCATTCATGACACCCCTAAATGCCGTGTAGCTCCTTAGCTTTCTAAACCCACTGGAAACTTATATTACCAGAGAAACACTTCCCTCCTGTTTCCCTGCTGTAATAGCTCCTGCAGGATTATTGTAAACTGTTTATTTGTACCCAAAGACTCTTTCTTCATGGACTCTTCCCTCCCCCATCCAGAGGTCACACACGTGACCCTAAATGGTGGATACTCGCTAAGTGTTGGGTGAAACTGAGTAACAATTAAAAATGAAATATTTACTCTGTCAGCTGAGTAAATATTTAACTTGCTTAAGAGTGATTATGGCCACCGCCCAGGCAACGCCATTTCCTGTTTTCAGGGAACTATTGTCTGCTGCTAACTTGTTCCTCTGGATTTTCCTTTCCTACCTATCTCAGATAAAGCTTCTGCGGTTTATGAAGTTAAACAAGACATTATGCATTCTATCTCTACTTAAACTAGGAGGGACAATGGTGTAGGAGGTTCTTCTGTTCATGTGTTGCTTTCATTGGTTAATGAATAAAGAAACTGCTTTGGGCCTGATAGGGCAGAACTTAGGTAGACGGAGAAGACAGAACTGAATGCTGGGAAGAAGGGCAGGGAGAGAGAGCCGCCATGGAGCCGCCAGAGTCAGACATGCTGAATCTTTCCCAGTAAGCCACTGGCACGTGGAGATACACATATTAATAGAAATGGGTTAAATTAAGATGTAAGTGTTAGCCAATAAGAAACTAAAGCTAATGGGCCAAGCAGTGCTTTAATGAATACAGTTTCTGTGTGATTATTTCTAGTGTAAACTAGCTGGGTGGCCGGGACAAACAAGCACCCTTTCCTGCAACAGAACAAAACCCAGGTTTCTATAGTCAGCACAGAACACTCACCCCAGCTGTCTAAATTCAGACGTTTCCTGTGGGGAACAATCTTGCCAGCGCAGTCTAACACTGACTACCTAGAGGATGGATCTCACAGGTTAGGTGCTTCTGTGAGACTCATCATTTGGCATTTGAGCCAACACATAAGGGTACCCACATCTTTCTACCACTAGACATAGGCTCGGGATCCCACCACCATCTCCACAAATTTGATTATTCTGCAAGCATGGCTCATAGACCTTATACTTACTGGTTTATTGCAAAGGATACAGATAAAGAGCCAGATAAAAGTCATACATAGGGCAAGGTTTATAGGAAGAGAGATGATGCTTCTCTGTGTTTTCTGGACCTCAGGTATTTAGCTACGTGGGAGCTTTTTGAACACTGTGTATGTGTACACACACATTAGTGTGTTTGTGTGTGCATGCATATGGGCATGTATGTGTGTGTATGCATATATGTGCTTATGTGTGCATGCATGTGTGTGTTTATGTGTGCATGCACATTTGTGCATGCATGAGGGTATGTATGTGTGTCCATACATGTATGTGAGTGTGCATGCATGTGTGTGCATGCATGTGTGTATGTGCATGTGTGAAGGCTGCACATGCACAAGCCAGAGGGTGACCTCAGATGCCTTCTTCTGTCACTCTCCACCTTACTTTTTGAGACAGGCTCTTTCTTATTGAACCTAGGGCTCCCTGTTTGCTTAGGCTGGCTGGTGAGTGAGCTCTGAGCATCTTCCTGTCTGTTCTGTTCAGGGGTGCCCCTGGATTTTTATGTGAGCACCGAGGATCGGAACTCAGGTCCTCATGTTTGAGCAGCAAATCCTGTTCTCTCAGCGATCTCTGTGACCCCTTTGGATTTCTCTGAAGATTTTTTTAATCGGCCCAGTTGATCAGATCATCTGCCACTGTAAGCAGCTTACCCTGCACTGCCTCTCCTTTGCACAGAGGGAGAGGTTAGGGCTTAGAACTGAAAGTTCCAACCCTCTAATCATACTTAAGTCTCTCCCATACCCACCCTTCCTCATTCTAATCACATCAAAGAGCCTTTAACCACCAGCCATCTGAGCTCACAAAAGGACTTGGCACTTCATAGATTCTGAGAGCATTTAGGAGCTGAATGCCAGGAAACAGGGACGAAGGATGAGTACATTTCTCGTAATGAAATAGTCACTGACACCTTACCATAAATTCCAGGTACCCACTGCCTTTTGTTTTTCAACTTGACACAAGCTATGGTCAACTAGGAAGAGTTAAGTTCCACTGAGAAAATGTTTCCATCAAATTGATGTGTTGGCAAGTCTATGGGGGCATTTTCCTGATTAATGATTGATGGTTAATAGATGATCCTAGGTTATAGAAAAAAGCAGGTTAACAGGTTCAATTCCCGGCACCCACATGGCAGTTCCAGGAACCAATACCCTCACACAGACGTACCTACAGGCAAAACATCAATAAAATAAAAATAAATTTCTTTGAAAAAAAAAAGAGGAGGAAGAAAAGAGAGCTGGTTAAATACTTCATGAAGACCAAACCAGTAAGTAGGATCTTTCCATGGCCTCTGCTTCAGTTCCTGCCTTCAGGTCTTGCCCTGGCTTCTGTTCACGGTGGACTATAAAGTATAAGGCGAGATTACATCCCTGCACCCCAGGTTGTTTTGGTCTTGGTATTTAGTCACAGCCCTACAAAGCAAACGCAGACACCCACTGGCACACTGCTTGTGTG